ACCAACCCCTCCATTTTGAGGACCCAGAGATGAGTGTGATGCAGCTCTACCCTCAAGGGGCTCCATGCCTGTTAGGGGAGACTGTGCTGGACACAGATCAGGTGGCAGGGTGACGGGTGTCCCCAAAATATCTCTGGGGTGAATGTTGATGCGCTTAAATTCAACACTTTCAGATGGGAAGATTGTCCTGGATTATCTGGGTGGGCCCTTCGCCTCTGGCTTTGAAGCTGGAGGAAGGGGCCACACCGGAGGCGGTTTCCAGCCGCCGAAAAAGGCAAGGAGATGGATCCTTCCCTAGAACCTCCAGAGGGAGCACGGCTCTGCTGACACCTTGATGTCAGCCCAGCGAGCCACGGGCCACACTTCTGACCTGCAGAAGTGTAAGGGACTACACTTTGTTGTTTGAGCCACCAGGTTTGTGGCCATCTGTTACAGCCACAGTGCAGAAACTCATATAAATAAATAAAATAAAGACTCAGAGCCTCCCATGTATTTCCAAGACAAACAGCTACAGGCGCACCCGGGTGCACAGGCGTGCGGGCGCCGGGAGGCTGAAACCGCTGGGGGACTTCACTGTCTCCCCGCAAGTCATCATTACAAGAAAAAGAGGGTAACTTGGGAGTGGAAAAGTGGTCAAGGCCGGTGTGACCAGTGATGGGGGCTGACATCACGGGCTCCTGATCGGATGAGAAGGACACAGCCTCACTCCTAAGTTTTTCCTGCCAAAAGCTCATAACCCGAATCTAATCACGAGGAAACGCTGAGCGAATCTAAACCGGGGGACACTCCGGAGTGTGTGGTCTGTAGCCTTCAGAATTGCCAAGACCAGGAAGGTCAAAGGAAGGCCGAAGAGCTCCTCCAGGGGAACGGGGACGAAAGACGCCTGACCTCCAATGCAGTGGGTGAGACGGGGTTTCTTTTGCCCTTAGGAATATTGTTGGGACACTTAGCAAACCTTGAAGAAAGCCTGTCGGTTAGCTAATAGTTCTGTATCCAGGTTAATTTCCTGACGTGATCGCCGCGCTATGGATTTGAAAGGAAAATACCCTTGCTTTTAGAAAAAACACAGGGACTCTTGGGAAAGAGGGGGCCAGAGACTCAGGGAGGTGGCAGAGACCCAGAGAGAAGGCGACAGAGACACAAGGACCGAGGAGCAGGGAACCAGAGAGAGAGGAGGAGACAGAGCGCGATCTCTCGCCCTTGCGTGTACACAGCTGCATTCCTGCTGTATCCCTACATGCTTTTCCTTCGTTGCATGAGCACACGGACAGAGAGAGTTCTGGTGTCTCCTTCTCTTCTTATAAGGACGTTAACATTATTGGGTCAGGGCCCTAAACTTATTACCTCATTTAACCTTGTTTTCTTCCATAAAGGTCATATCTCCAAGTCACATTGGGGGCTAGGGGTTCCACATATGAATTTTGGGGGAGCGAACATTCAGTTCAAAGCACACTCTCACATTCCACTCTACCTGCCCACCATGAAGAAGCACTTATATTCCTCTTTCCTCCCTCTAGGCTTCTGGGCTCTCTATTCCCTCTGCTTGGAACAGCCCACCTCTCCCTCTGCCTTTATTGGTCACACTCATGACTTTTACTCCATTGGTTCTTATCTTCAAAGTTATAGCCAAGGTGACACCTCCTCCGCAAGCCCTCCCTGATTGCTCAGGCTGTGTTGGAGGCCCTCCTCTGAGCTTATAAAATGCCATGAGATATCCCCGTCAGGCACACACATCACACTGCCTGTAACCAGGTCTTTCTCAGGTACCCTAATCCTGGCAATAGTGATTGGTTCAAGGGGTGGGCCCCAGACCCAAGCAAAACCAATCAGGACCCTTCCCTGGGATTGCTATATAAACTCAGTTGCAGCGGTGCTCCTTGCTTCAGCCAGTAAAATGCAGATAAAAGCAACATGTGTCATTGAGCTCACTTAACTTGTGTGACCACCCTATGTAGACGACATTGCTCACCCATTTTACAGACAAGAACATGAAGAGGGAGGATTTATGTAAACCACTCGAAATTCAGAGCTAGTCAAGGACAAAGGCAGGATTCGAATCCCGATTGAGCCCATAAGTGCGACCACTATGTTTCACCACTGCCAAGTTCACCCTGTCTCTTTTCCTTGTGTTATGGCAACGGGGATTGCCCAAGATACAAGCTACTCCATCGGCCGGGGCTCCGGAGTCAATGTGGCATGAAGCGGAGCCTCAGCTGCCCTGTGAGAGGCATGTCATATAGTGAGAAGTAAACCCTCATTGCTGTAAGCCACTGAGATGAAGCGGGGGGCGGGGGGGGCGGTATCGTAGCATAACTAACCTAACCTCTTCTGACACATTCATCTCCCAAAGCCTTGACAAACCTTGACTTTGATGTTGTGTACAAGTCAGTTAACGCAATGCCTTTTGTCCCCCCCCCGTTACTCTAGGTCCCTGAAACAAGGGACGGAGAGCGTAATGGCTAATGCCACTTATTCATTGTGTTGAAACTGAAAATCATTAGCCTCTCTGTTCCTCCATTTCTTCATTGTACGTGGGGAGAAAATAAATACCCTCTTCATTGGGTTATGAGATTTGAGTAGGTTGATATAAGTAAAGCCATTAGAAGAGTATGTGTCAGAAAACACCATCCACATATTTGCTATCAATACTATGAAAAAGAAGCCATTAATAGTCTCAGCTCCTGACATTCCCATTTGTGGTCCCCTCTGTCTGGAGTGCCCTTTCTCCTGTGCTTCTTGTGGAAACCAATTTTCTGACAAGAACAGGCTCTTTTTCTTTAAACTTTATTTTTCAACTACAGTTCACATTCAATATACTGTATGCATTTCAGGTGTACAGGCTAATGGTTAGACAATCATATACTTTACCAAGTGGTCCTCCTAATATAGCAAGACGCTCTTACAGCCGTTCCTGTACGAAACTTTCTCTTCTTCCCACCCTCCCCAGCTAGAGTTGGCTGCTCCCTCCCTGGGTTCCCACAGGAACGTCCCAGAATCCTAGCACTGATATCATAATAATTGTTGTCTTGTAATTATTTGGTGACGGTCTGTCTCTCCCGCTCCATACCCTGTGCTCTCTGGGAGTTCTCATCGCACTATAATTAATGCACAACTTAATTACCCGTTTAGTGCATTGCTCCCAGGAAGTTCCCAAGAAGTTAAGGTAATGACGGGACCAGTAGCGTGAAGATATTTTAATACCCAAAACACTGCTACCCAAGCGGGAGTGAGCTTCGGCGTGGCCACCAGTTTAAGCGAGTGTGAAGCCCAGCATCTCTGATCCCTCTGCAGGAGCCCCGCCCCTGGCCGTTCGCCGCTAGCGGTGACGTCATGCGCGCCCGGAGCGACGTTGCCTAGGCGACTAGCGTCCGTGGACTCCAGGGTATAGAACAGGCCCGGGTCGCGGGCGACAGGTGGGTGAGGGGGGCGGGGAGGACGAGGAGGGGTAAACCGGGGAGAAACCAGAGGCCGGAAACTACCGTTCCCAGAATCCTCTCCTTTCGAGCGCGGTCTATTTAAGGGCTTTGAGCCTCTTCGCTACGGCTTCAAACCTCTGCATTCCCGCTGTAATGACGACGCATGGTCCCAGGTAGACGCTGGAAATGTCGGGGGACAGGGAGGAACACTTTGTGAGGTTCATGAATTAGAGTGCGCTGTACCCGTGAAACCAATACGAAATAATGTCGAATGTAAACTGTAATCGAAAACTAAAATGCAAGAGAAAGAAAACTTCTCCACTCAAAGCGCTTTACCGCTCAGGTGACAAAACTCTAAGCATCGTGTGGCTGGAACAAGAACGTCAAGGACGTCAAGGGTTTGGCCAGTCGAAGTCCAACTTTGCTGTGCACACCTTCTACCTTTAACTAGTCTGGGATGTAGTGTTTAACGGACTCACTGCAGGAGGCAGAGGTTTCTGGGATAGGTAGTTAATTAGGGGGTCCAGTGGGACCCCTCAACACTTAGAACGTCCGTGGCTAATCTCTAAAATAAAGTATGTAAGCAACACCCAGCCCTAGATACTTCCCTGTCACCTTAGAATGGTAGCAAAACGTGTCTTGAGTTGGTCTTCAGTATTTGAAAAAAATTAGTTGCCCACACTATTTTAATGGAGAGATTTCATATTTGAACAACCGGATTTTTGGGGTCTATTGAAAAATCTGAAGATCTGAAAAACACTAGGGCTGTTATATCACCTATTTCACTATAGGGTGGAACTGAGTATTTTCCACTTTCCACGAATGAGACCTGAAGTTGTTCACTTTACTTACCTGGACCCATAACATATTTGAGGTTTCAATTTCAGACCCTGGGAAAATCCACCAAGCTCCTTTCCCGGCATTTAAAGCCCTTTCGTGGAGGGATCAATACCGTCTTTGTAGGCTCTCTGCACTCCCCACTCCCCTCCTCATTTATTCAACAAATATTTACTGAGTGCTTGCTTTCAGCCAAGCAGTGTGCTAAGCACTGAATCTCCAGCTAAATTCTTCCTTTCTTACCAACCCCCGTCCCTCCCACCAAACATCCTGCATTATCCAAATCCCGAGGGAGACAGCAACAGATCCCCTAGCAGGTTCCAAAACAGAAGGACGCCACGTGATTCAAATCTATTTGCTTTCTGCGTTGGGTTAGCGAGTAGCAAGAGGTCAGAGAGCAAAAGACGTATCCGAGTCTTTTCAGGAACACAGAAGGTGAACATTGAAGAGTTCAGATAGGGAGGGAACCCTGTCTTCTCCCCACTGACCACTGCCGTCCCTCTGCCCACCTGTCCTTTACGGTCTCCCTGGGGAGTCATCTTATTTTGGGTGCGTTCCCCACGACATAGGAATGGTTGTCCTTTCAGGCCCTCACTGACGGGTTGTCCAGTCCTCTTGAAAGTTGGGCGTCTAGAGCTGGACCTTTGTGGGGGGTGTCCTCCAGTAACTGATGGAGACATCGAGAAATTCGTCACAGACTTTATTTAACTTCTTTTCCTTTCCCCTTACAACTCCCAAAGCACCGCCCTACTGCAGCAGGAGTTTCCGGTTTTGCCTGTAAATAATAGCCCTGGGCAGAGAGAAAAAGCCTGGAGGTTAGAAAGAGATCTTCAGGCCCCTCTAGGTCAACCGACACCCTCCCACCCCGCCCAAACTTCCTTCCAATCATCAGTCTTATTTGGTTTAGTCAGTGACATCATGGGTGTCTGGGCAGATTTCCAGCATTCTCAGCCAATCAGTGTTGGCTCATGAGGAGGGAGTGAAACATTGGGACTGGGAGTAAGGGTAAAATGTGGATGCAGAGCGGAAGACGGACTCGGAGAGACACAGACACAGCAAGAGAGGCTCACAAAGAAGAGAAAGACAAAAAGAGAGAGAAATGAGGAAAAGAGAGGAGCAGGTGTAGTAGGTGGAACTGTGTTTTCCAAAAGATATATCCAAACCTTAACCTCTAGTATCTGTGCAGGTGGCCTTACTGGGAAATACAGTCTTTGCAGATGTAATTAAGTTAAGGTCAAATAAGGTCATTCTGGATTTAGGCTGGAGCCTACGTTCAAGGCTGGTGATAGAGTGAGAGAGAGAGAGAGAGAGAGAGAAAGAGAGAGAGAGAGAGAGGACAGTCCATGTTAAGACTGAGGCAGAGATTAGAGGGAAGCCACAAGCCCAGGAACACCAAGGATGCCAGCCGCCACCAGAAGGTAGAGGCTGGTATGGAATGGATTCTCTCTCAGAACTTCCAGAAGGAACCAACCCTGCCAATCCCTTGATTTTGGACTTCTGACCTCCAGAATTCTAAGAGAATAAATTTGTTGCCTTAAGCCATTTGTGGTCATTTGTTACTGCAGCAACAAGATATTAAGACACAGGGAGACTGTGGGGAGAGGGTGAGGAAAGAGTTCTGTAAGAGAAACCGAGAGATGGGACAGAACTTGGGCAAGAGGCTGAGGAAAAGAGTAACAGAATTCAAGACAGAAAGGGAATCCCAGAGATGGGGGAGGGGAAGATAGAGATGAAGACCCATTGAAGACAAGGAGAGAGGTTCAAACATGGGAAAGGGGAGAGAGCTGTGTGGAAAGGTGCTGGGAAAAGAGAGGGAAGACGGGAGACAAGGAGGTGGCAACATGAGACAGATATAAAGCAGCAGAGCGAGGCTGACAGAGAGTGTGTGGGCCACGTGGGGTGGGAGTCAGGAACAGACCCAGAGACCGGGAGGGACATTGAGAGAGAGGCAGAAAGAAACTGAGAGACACAGATTCAACGTGGGGGCAGGGGAGGGAAAGGAGGAAGTGGCAGATTTGGGACTGGGGCAGTGGAGGGGAGGAGAGAGCCCAGTGGAAGAGGCAGAGAGATGGAGAGAGTTTCAGAGGCGGAGAGAAGGGGATGCACCAGACGAGCTCACACTAGAGCTGACATTTGTTGCGCTAAGTACTGATTTAACGCTCACCCCCACCCCAGAGGGAGGCGCTGGGACTGTCTAAAATTGCATAAGAAGAAACCGAGGCGTTAGACAAAGGAGGGGGAGGGGCAGGTGGGAGAGGCCGAGAATGACTGGAGAGGGCATCGTAAGGGCAAGCGGACGGGCAGGGAGGTGCCCCAAGGCCGAGAGAGCTCGGCGAGGGCCACTCCTCCCCGGGGCACTGCAGGTCCGTGCTTGGGGCCTATGGGAATGTTTTCATTTTAAATACTTTTAAAAACTTTTAAAAGCAGAAGACAATAATGTAACAATGAGCAATAATAATATAATAATAAGTCCAGCTTGGAATATATTTGTCTTCAAACCAGCACTTCTGCAAAATATAATTTTTAGTTTAGGTGTTTGGGTTTTTTTGTTTTTTGTTTTTTTCATGGAAGAAGAGATCCACAAAAGCGAAAGTGCTGAGGACTGAGGAAAGACGTAATGTGGTCCAGGGGTGATGGGAGTGGGGAGGGAAGATATGAGTGAGAAACAGAGAGACCCAGATGAGCGAGAGATGGAGAGGGGGAAGGAGAGACAGGGAAAAAAAGAGAGAGATAGACAGGGAGACTGAGACAGAGATATAAAGTGACTGGGCAGGAGACTCCCAAAGACACAGTGACCTATCCAGGGCAGTGCCATCTTTGAGGGGCTTAGTGGAGGCCTTTGGGGGCCTCAGGAGACTGCAGGGATGACTCACGAAGCCAGGATGACCCCAAAGACGAAGACAGCCAGAAACAAGGAAACCACGATGCCGGGCAGGGCCTGGCTCCACGGGCTTGTACTCTCTTTGTCGTACTGCAGGGCCACTCGGGGCTGCCTGTCAACTGGGCCGGTGGGTGGAGACAGCGCGGACCTTGTTACCACCCTTCCTCGGCCTTGACCTCACCCACCGCTCGCTCAGCGACCAGGGTCCCTTCACACCGCGGGGCCCTCGCCCTGTCCTAGGCTCCCCTTCTCCATTCACCCATTCCTCAAATTCTGTGCCCCAGAGACCGTTCTAGGTGCTCGGGTTACCACTGTGAACCCACCCTTGTCCTCCCTCAGCACCTCACAGTGTCAGCGAAGGGCCCAGCGCTAAATGCGTCTCACTGAGGGTGAGGGTGGGAGGAGGACTTGGCTCGTTCGTCAGCTAGAGAACACGAGAGGGGAACGCAAAATGCTGGCAATCTTATAAGAAAGTCATCCTGCGTCTTAGCTGGCTCCTGAACGTGGCCTTGGGAGTCCCATTCTGCACCTTCAGCCAGCTCCCTTGCTCGAGCTCTCTCATTCTGTTCGCAAAGCCTCTAGGCTCGAACTTAAAAATATATCCAGAATCTGTACTACCTGGCCCCTGACCTGGCCCAGCAGCGTCCTCCTCTCTCCTCTCAAGCGGTCTGGCTTCTCCTCCCTGCAGTTCCCCACGTGGCCGCCAGGGGCGCCAGTTAACACCTAAGTCCACTCCTGTCCCTCTTCTGCTCAGAGTCCTCCCGCGGCTCTTCTCTCATTCAGAATAAAAGCCCAAGTCCTCACTATGGTCCTTGAGCCCTGCACGATCTGGTCACCACGTGGCTAGCTACCTTACTGCCCTCCTCTTTATTCACTTGGCAATGGCCACACTAACTCCCTTCTTGTCGCTCAACTACTTTGGATCTTTGCATCTGCTGTTCCCTCAGACTTTCCCACGGTTCCTCAACCCCACGTTTCCTTTAGGTCACTGCTTGAGAGACGTCCCCCCACCTGCACGCTCTAAAGTAGCACTGCCCCTCTCCCTCCCAGGGACTTTCTCTCTGTTTCGTTTTCATTAAGAGCCCTACTGCCATCTGGAATTAGTCCCTATATCTGTTTATGTATAATTATCACCTCACAGTGGTACTCAGCTAGGGATAATTTTGTCCTCCAAGGGATATTTGGAAATGTCTGGAGACTGGAAACGAGTGTCATGACTTGTGTGTGTGTGCGTGTGTGCGTGTGTGCGTGCATGTGTGCGTGCGTGTGTGTGTGCGCATGGAGGGGGGTGTACTACTGGTGTCTAGTGGGAAGAGGAGGTAGAGGATAGGGGAGCCGCAATGCAAAGGACAGCCTTGTAGCAAAGAATTACCTAGCCCCACGTCAGTAGCAAAAGGTTGAGAAGCCTAATCTAACCCTTCACTCCACCAAAATGTGGGTTCTGTGAGGCATTTGCCTCCCGTTCTGCTGATCCTCAGTGGGGGGCATTACAGAGCGCTCAAACTATTTGTTGTAGTTAAACACCACGCTACGGGAGCAAATCCACAAATTCCTTCTTTTCAATTGTTCAGCATAATGGTGGGGGAGGGGGAGTTAGATAATTAAAAAAATAAGAAGAGAAAAAGATGTAACCACTGAATGATATGAGAAGTCCTTTCATTGGACTCTGTTTCCATGAATCGATGAGAAAGGTATTCTGGGGACAATAGGGAAGTTGGAAAGGGACTTGGAATTATTTGATATTGAAGAGTTGTTGTTAGGTTTGCTGAGTGTGGTTATGTAGAAAATGTCCTTATTTATAGAGGTAGACACTATTAATGAGTGAAATCTCATGATGCTTGATTTCTTCTAAAACACTGAGGCAGCCCCGGCTGCCGTGGCTCCGTGGACTGAGCGCTGGCCTGTGAACCAAAGGGTCGCTGGTTTGATCCCCAGTCAGGGCACATGCCTGGGCTCTGGGCCAGGTCCCCAGTAGCGGGTGCATGAGAGGCAACCACACATTGATGTTTCTTTCCTTCTCTTTCTCCCTCCCTTCCCTTCTGTCAAAAAATAAAATAATAAAGTCTTTAAAACACTGTGGCAAACAATAAAATAGAGTAACTGAATCAAATGGGAGGACTCAAGACAGTTCGATAGAAAGTGCTACTTTAGAGAGTGTGATCAGGGAGCCCTCTCCGAGGTGGTCAACGGCCAGACTTTGTTGAAGTGACATTGTTGGCGTAACAATGTGACAGAGAGAACAGCACATGAAAAGGTCCAGCGTGACTATCCAATCTTGATATATACATGGGGGTTCATTGTACTATTTTCTCTGCTCTAAGGAGATGTGTTTTTTAAATCTCTGAATGAATGAATAAATTCAGCACATCCTTCCAGACTCCCCAGGTAGGGCTAAAAAGAAAAGCCTGCCATTCGGGCATTAGATGCATTGCAAAGTTGCAGAGGAGGCTTCCCATGTAGCAGCAGTGGATTTCAGAATGTGGCCGCACCTGCCGGGCCACAGTGTAAGAAGTGTCCAGGGCAGGATTCAAGGCGGCACGCGGGAGGCCTCAAAACCCGTATCCACCGGGACATGGCTGCCTTGGTCTCTCGTGTACCCGTCCCATGTCTTCCCGGACCCACAGGAGCTTACCGAAACAGTCCTTCTTTTTTATGCACTTGGGACTGATCCTCTGGCAGTGTAAACAGTCTAAGACCTCTCCTTTTAGCAAGTCTGGACAGGGGAGAGGGAGAAGTGGGATGGGGGCAGCTATCAGAGGACCGGCAAGGGGCAGGAAGGCGGACGGGGAAGCGGGTACGGAGTCCCTTGGCCCTCCCGAATTTGGAGGTCGCACATGCAGCAGAGCAAGCTGAGCAAAATGCACTGATGATTCACATTAAAGATAATTTTTATATATTTATACAATATATAAGTTGATTGAAGAGTTGAACTAAGTTGCAGCTGTCCAGTTAACCCAACATTATTTGGAAACATTTAATTAATTAAAATTAAACCCATGTTTAATTAAATGTCTACCAAAGAATGCTTTCACGTCTCTATTCCTATTTTGCAGCCACCTGTGGCAGAGACTGGCTGGATGCTCACTGATCCATCTCTTCCACTTCCTACCGCTCAGGAAGACTACATTTCCCAGGCCCCTTTGCAGAAGGTTGCAACCATGTGACTGAGTTCTGCCCAATGGAAAGTGGGCAGAGGGATGCAAAGCCCCTTCCCAGGCTTGGCGACAGAAGTCCATACAGAATTCCCTATTTTTTCTCCCTTCTGACGTTTGCTTAGAAGCTACAATACGGGTGCAGCCTGGATCCCCGACTCACCAGTTGGAAGAATTACTCAACTCTCAATGGATTTTGGGTGGGAGAGAAATAAATGTTTCTTTTGTTAAAACACTGAAATGTGTTTGTTTGTTTAACTAGGACATAGGCTCTCCTATCCTGCCTCACATTCTCCCCAAAGGACTTTTCCGCAGGTTGCAATTTTCATAAGCCCCCCAAAATCCGATATCCCTAGGTCCTAGAGCTTTGGAGCGGGGCCCCGCTAGCGGAGCAGGTGTGATAGTGGGGCTGGGTTTGTGGGAGATGGGGGAAAGGGGGAACAGACAATAAGGGCAGGACTCACGGCAAGTTTTGCGGTTGCAGGCTGCAAGAGAAAAGAGCTGAGGTGAGTTAAGGTGGGAGAGCAATTTGAGAATCTAATGGGAAGGGACCAGGAGAGGGAGGGAGGAAGGAGTCTGGGAAAGACTAGTAAGGGATACGCGGAGGGGCAGAGAGAGCTGAGCCAGCGGGGAGGGAAGGAAGGAGTTTGGGAGAAGACGTGAGAGAGGGGGCTGGAGTGGCCATGAGGAGGGCTCTTGGTGTCGAGAGAGACGCCGCACCTTTCAGTTCATACGAACTCAGAGCTCTCTTGAGTCTCTTGACCACCCTCTGCCTAAGAGTCACCAGCTCTTCCAGCAGAGGCTCATCTGAGGAGAGAAAGGGACCCTTGTGAGACACTCAGCACCCCATCTGCAGCTTCAAAGAGGAGGGACGAGGGAACTCCTTTTCATTCACCAGGAGTCACCAAGGCCACATATCCGGCAGATCTGCGGCTTGGGAAGGCTTGCATTTACCTTCTGATTCGCTGCAGGGCCCCAAGTTAAACCCCCTTCCCTTGGCCTCAGTTTCCTCATTTGGGAAGCGCTAGAAGGGTGGGCTTAGTCACCTCTCCTTTCCTCCCACCTGATTTGCTCTCTGCTCCTCTTTGTTGTCTACACTCACTCCTTCAGATTTCATCCAGGCTCATGGCTTTATACAGTAATTACCTGGACCTGCATTGTCCAATATGCCAGCCAGTAGCCACACCTGGCTACTGAGCCCTTGACAGGGGCTAGTCTGAACTGAGATACACAGTTCATGTAAAACGTATGTTGGATTTCAAAGACATGGTATGAAAAACAATAATTGTAAAATATTATAATAAATCATTTTCTTTTTAAAAAAGATTTTATTTATTTTTAGACAGAGGGGAAGGGAGGGAGAAAGAGAGGGAAAGAAATATCAATGTGTGGTTACCTCTCACATGCCCCCTACTGGGAACCTGGCATGCAACCCAGGCATGTGCCCTGACTGGGAATTGAACCGGTAACTCTTTGGTTCGCAGGCAGGCACTCAATTCACTGAGCCACATCAGCCAGGGCACAATAAGTCATTTTCTGTGGAGTGCATGTTGAAATGGTAATGTTTTGGGTATAGGTTTAAATAAAATATATTAAAATTAATTTCACCTGCCTCTGTCTACCTTTTTTTAAAATGGGGATACTAGCCCTGGTTGGCATGGCTCAGTGGATTGAGTCCCGGCCTGTGAACTGAGAGGTCGCTGGTTCGATTCCCAGTCAGGGCACATGCCTGGGTTGTGAGCCATATCCCCAGTTGGGGGTGTGTGAGAGGCAACTGATCGATATCTTTCTCACACATCATTGTTTCTCTTCTTTTCTCCCTCCTTTCCCCTCTCAATACAAATAAATAAGAAAAATCTTTTGAAAAATAAATAAAATTGGGGCTACTAGAAAATTAAAAATTATGTATGTGATTCCTATTTGTGCCTCCCATCATATTTCTGTGGACACTGCTCTTCCATCTACACCAATGCCTCCCAAGTTTATACCACTAGCCGAGCCCGCACATCGAAGTCCAGGTGTACATTCCCAACGCTCCACTCAGCAGGTCCTCCTGGATGTCTATAGGCATCTTAAGCTCAATAAGTTCAAAAGTGAACCTCAATATTCTCCTCCAAACCTGCTCCCACCCGCGGTCTTCATCTTAGTAGGTGCAGGTGCCACGGTTCCACTTGCTTAGGCCAAGGTCCTTGGTGCTGCCTTTGACCCGTTTTCTCCCATCCCACGTGCAAGTTGTCAACATGCACGTCAGCAGGTCCCGTCTGTTCAATATGTAAGACAGCTCCAGACATCCCATCCTTTCTCACCCCCTCCACTGTGACCACCGCGGTTCCAGCCATCATCGCCTCTTGCCCGGGGCCATCACTGCATCTCCTCCCTGATCTCCAGCCTTCCTGCCCCCTGGTCATGCTGAAATCTGTTCTCCACATCCAGGGGGGTCCTAGCAAAACCTTGGTCGGCTCACTCACATCGCGCTTCAGCTCAGAGCCCTCCCTCCCAGGTGAGCCAGAAGAGAAGCCGAAAGTCCTTACCGTGGCCTAGAAGGTGCTACGGGACCCAGCCTTCCCTTCCTTTTCCCTCTCGGACCCCATCTTCCCCATCTCCCCGGCTCACTCTTTCCTCTCCAGCCTCCCTGGCCTCCCTGAGCTTCTGCGAATACGCCAAAGGCGACCCGCTCAGGCACCGCGCAGCGCGGCCTGCAGCCCTCGAGCCCAGGCCCTCGCTCGGCTGCTTCCGCGTCCGCCTGTCTTTCATCACAGGCTGACTCTTCGGCGTCATCCTTCTTGGCCGTCCTGCCTCAAACGGCAGCCCCCACCCCTACTCACAGTGCGGCTTATCCCCCGGCCCCTGCTTTCTTTTTTCTCCGTGGTATTTGTCCGCTTTACTTAGTGCGGTAAAGGGTTAGCTCAGCAGGCCTGGGCTCTCCAAACCTTGCACATTCCCCCCGTCCCCCAAAAGGGTTTGGCTCCTGCCCAGCTCCTGGTGGGGAACCTCTGAGTCCTTGGAGTATCCGGCCTGGAAGGGTGTCCTTCTCCCCCTGGGAGCGGGGGCCGCTCGCACAGTCTACGCTCACGGGGAGACTCACGGTGGGGCCTTGGGCACGGGGAGCTGCTTGGCCTCCGGAGGGGCTGTTGGCTGAGTACCTGAGGTCAGCCTCTTGGTTCTCTAGGTTGGCGTAACCAACCCCCAATAATATAATAACAGTCTCAAAACGACTGACCTAGGCTCTTCCAAAATGTCAGTGTCAGAAAAGACAATGGAAAACACTGTGTGACGCCAGAGCAGAGCAAGGATTGAAAGAAAACTGGAATGTTCTTCCTTCTTTGGAGATCACCCACTGAAGAATGTAATGTTGAAATGAGGGTTGAAGTGTCATTAACTGTCATGGTGCATGCGCGCGCGTGCACACACACACACACACACACACTTTATATCTTTTTAAAAATTGGTGGGTTCTTTCATACTGTCTTCCTCCCTGCTCCATTCCTCAAGGTGGGGCAAGGCTTGCAGGGCTTAGACCTTGCTTCCCAACTCCCCCAAGTCCACAGGGCCCTCTACTGCCCTCTGCTGAGGGACTGTCATAAAGACCAGGCCAATCTCCAATGACTAACTCCAGGAACGGTACCCTCCCCCTCCTGCCGCGCGCGTGCTGGGTGGTGGTTAGGGATACACTGTCTGAGCGGGGAGGGATGTCCCAGGTTCAAATCCTCATCTCTTTCCCTAGCTGTGTGGCTTTGGGAGTGTCCGAACCTCAGGCTCCCCCTGGCTGAAAGACCTTGCCCACCTAGATAAGCTGTAGTAGGCTTGTAAGGAAAGCATTTAGAACCAGCCGGACCCGACACACAGTAAAGGCTATGGGCCCGCGTTTGCTTCACGGTTTAGATCAAGAGGAAGGGGGGTGGACAGGGGAAGAGGGAGGGAGAAGGGGCCTGGGAAAAGGCTTTCCCGATTAGTTCCTACCTCTCAGAGACTTAGCCTTTAACTTATTAATTTCATTCTTGATAAAGGATGCCACATGGTCCAGGTGATCTGTCTCTGGGGACGACAGGGGAGGAAACGCCATTGGGTCCCTGAGAGAGCCGAGTGACTTCTCCCCCATCTTCGTCCAAACCTCCCCCTCCAGGGGGCATGGTCCCCAAAGTGTCTCCCTCTCCATCCTCCCCTGCCTTGGACGCCCCTGTCCCTTTCTCCACAGTGCTAGGCACCCTCCCCTTCGAAGCACGCACCCACTTGCCCCACAAACGCGTTCAGCGCATAGTTGCGGAAGAAAGATCCCTCCATGCCCAGCAGCAGGGACTGAGCGCGGGCCCCATGCTGCCCGAGACGGAATTGGCCGGGGATGATGGCCAAGCGCAGCTGCCTCAGGGCCGCCGGCACCGAGGGGTCGCACTGCAGACAGCCCCAGCCTCCGCGGGCGCCCAGGATGGCGAGCAGCCCAAAGGCCAAGGCCAGAGGCATGGCAGGGCCTTTGTGACGTCACAGAGGGGCCCCAGCGGCCCCGCCCCCGAGGTTCGGGCGGGGTAGAGAGGCCTGGGAGCAGAAGGCAGGCAGGACTTTGCTGAGCACCTCCTCTGTGCCAAGCGCTATTCTAGGCTCTGCAATGTATTGTGAGGCAAACAGTCTCTGCTCCCACCGTGTTCACCAAAGGTCAGTGGAGCTGCCTCCATGTGCCGGGCGCTGGAGCGAGTCCAAGTATCTATCGGCGAAGGAACAGGTCAAACAAAAGTGGTGTATCTACGCAATGGGATATCATTCAGTCTTAAAACGGGAGGAAATTCTGACACATGCTACTAAATGGCTGGACCTTGGGGCCATTACGGTGAGTGAACTAAGCCGATCAAGAAGAGACGCATCTGTAAGATTCCACTCATGTGCGGTTGACGACGTAGAAGAGTCAAATTTACACTCACGGTGTGTAAAATTGGTTTAATCTATTGAACCATACTCAGATTTTCCTAAATACCTCCTAACTCTTTTTTCACTTCAATATCAACTCCTCCAAGGTAGGAGCAGGAAAACCACAAACAACATGGAAATGATACTGACGTGTGAATCTCAAATAATTTTAACACGTCACAAAATATTCTTCGGACTTGTTCCAACCATTTAGAAACATAAAAGCCATTCTTAGCTTGGGGGCTATAGTTTGCCATGAACTCTAACTCATCCTTGTTGGTTTTTATCGTAACACTAATCATTTTTATAATCCTTATTTTTAAAATGATTTTATTTATTTATTGTTAGAAAGAGAGGGAGAGAAACATTGACGTGAGAGAGAAACATTGATCGGTTGCCTCTTGTAAAAACCCACAACCGAGACGTGTGCCCTGACCAGGAATTGAACTGGCAACCTTTTGCTTTGAGGGATGACTCCTAATGAACTGAGCCACACCAGTCAGGGCTAGAATTCTTATTTTTTCTGGTCTGTCATATCATCCAATAAGGAACTGTGAGTATCTTGTTCACAATTATGTCCCCAACCCCTCAGAAGGAACCTGACACACAATATGTGTTCAATAGACACTTGTTGAGTGAAAAAAGTCAGTTTCTGTTTCTGAGCCGCAGTTTCCTCCTTTGTAAAATGGAGGTAATAATATACCTACCTTATTCCAGGGCGACTTCTGTGAACCCACGTTTGCACTGTCCAGTATGCAAGCCACGGTCGCATGTGGCTATCGATCACTTGAAATGTCTTGTGACTGCGAAGTGGAATTTTAAACTTTATTTAATTGTAATTAATTTTAACTTAGATTTTAGAAAAGGGATCCTCAATTCAGCTAATGGGAAATCTTTAAACAAGTTTGGAACAACTCGAACACGTGAATCTACTTCAACTGTAAATGTTATAAAATCTAAACAAAGATCAAGTATTTTTAATACAAATTTAGTGTCTGAGTTGAGGTGTGCTGTCCTGAGAACATTCTGAAGGCTTAGTTAAAAAAGTAATATGCCTCAATAATTTTTATGTTGGTTGTACATTGAAATGATAATATTTTGGCTCTGTTAATACAATATATCATTATTATTAATGTTATCTCTTTCTTTTTACACTTTTTATTTATTGATATGAGAGAGAGGAAGAGACCATGAACATGTTTTCACTCATTGATGCATTTATTGTTGCGTGCATTTATTATTTATCGTTGATTTTTGTATGCCCCCTGACCTGAGATCACATCCGTAACCTTGGCACATCATGATGATGCTCTAACCAATTGAACTACCCTGCCAAGGGCTTTTTTTTTGTACATTTTTAACGTGGCTAACGGAAAGTTTAAAATTACATGTGGGGCTTGCATATATATATATTCCAATTGGATATCGCTGCTCTAGCACATAGATGGTGCCTAATTAATATCATCTGAATTTAGGTGTGAATAAATTAGGGGCAGTTAATGATTGTGCGGTTGTGTAATGGGATGGTTAGACCACAAGGGGGCGCGCGCACCCGAATAAAATTTTAGCTTCTCTCCCACCTGAGAAAGTTTCATCCTTAGCTTCCTGCTGCCCTGCCTGCCTTTCCCAGAATTAGCCCTTCATAATAGTAACTAATGCAGTGACCTAAGGAGCTGTCAGAGTGGGAGGGAAAACAAAGGTGGGAAAACAAAGACTGTAAAATCCTCAACTTCTAAGCGCCAAAGCTTCAGGTCCAGGTGTGCGGCACAAAGAATCAAGAAGCAGAACTGGTTTTATTTCTCTAATGAGCAGCCGCGCTGAAGTGCAGTTTGGTAAAACTTAGTTAGGTTAAGTAACTGCAGTTTTCATGGCCTGACAATTTCCCTCTTTTTGATGAAGAGGCTGAAGAAGGTGTCACTCTCGCCCCCCAGGGGCAAGGATGTTCTTCTCAGCGTTGTTTACGGTGGCGGTGGTGGGCCGTCCAAGGCAGCCCGCTGTCCGTCCGGGGGAAGAGGCGGTGCCCGGGGCACGCGGGGCCAGGGTTCTGCAGCCCTGGGGACAGCAGGCCAGGCTGTGCAGACCACGACAAGAATGGATCTGATGAACAGATAAGGAAGAAATGGAATTTACTCAGCCGTAAAAAAGAATGAAGCCTTGTTACCTGCAACAACAGGAATGCACCTGGAGGGCGTTATGCTGAGTGAAACAAGTGAGGCAGAGAAAGACAAATGTCATATGATTTCACTTACCTGTGGAATCTAACAAAACAAACAAACAACAGAAACAAACTCATAGATAACAGAGAACATTTTGCTGGTTGCCAGATTGGGGGAGGACCGGGGGAATGGGTGAAAAGAGGAAGGATTTAGAAGTACAAATTGGTATTTACACAATGGTCATGGGGATGTAAAAAGCAACATAGGGAATATAGTCAGTAATATTGCATTAACTACGTGCATTGGGCGGGTAGTAGGCTTATGGGGGGATCACTTCGTAAATTATGTTAATGTCTATTCACCATGTTGTATATCTGAGACTAATGTAATATTGTATGTCAACTATAATTGAAAAGTAAAAAAATATTTTAAAAAATGAATCTGAGTGTAAAAGTAAGAAACAGAGTGAGGCCTACAACCCAATACCATTGACATAAATGTGAAATTCTTACATCTCAAACAAAAATACATAATGTGTAAGAACATCTGCAAACAAAATGATATACAATAGACACGAGACAGGGGAGGAAAAGAGAATAATCGGTAAGGGCAAAATGGAGCAAGTGTTTAAGAAATAAATACTAACATTGCTTTTAGTGTGAACCAGATGGCTAAGAGTACCAATGAGGTCAGACAGCTTGAGTTTGAATGAATTCATTAATCATAAAGCTCTGTCACTTAATTATTGGGAGGCCTCTGGCAAATTAGGTAACTTTTCTGTGCTTCAGCCGCTTCATCCATAAAATGGGATAACAAGAGTCCTGATATTACAGAGTTGTACCAATGATTAAATAATGTAAAATTCATAAAGAATTTAGAATAGTACATGGCAAGAGCTATCTAAGTGCTGGCTATTTTTAAATATGACAATTATGCTTTATTTAATCTTCTGCACCTGAGGTTCTTAAAAATGGGAGGGAGGAGGGAGGCCCTCTGGACTGGAGAGGGGAGACAGACTCACAGAAAGAAAACAATAGATTTGGATGTGAAGGTGGGGCCTTCTTAGTCTGGCAGGGGTGAGGGGTCAAGAAAGACGCCTGCATGAGTCAGTGTGGGCTGGGTTATGCTGCTGTAACAGACAGTTCCCATTTCTCAGTGGCTGAAAACAACAAACTTATTTTTTTAACTTCTGTTATTATAGTTGGTTGGTCAGGACTCTGGCTGAGGGGAAAAAAAGAAGAAAACCCACAGTCATTCTTCAATGATTTCACCCACATGTAACATCTGCTCATTGGCCAAATTGAGTCACATGTCCACATGACACTTCAAGTGAGTGAAGGGGAAGCATTCTTCACATGCCTGGAAGGACTGAGATTTGGAAAATTTGTGAGCAGCTTAAATGACCCACCTGACACCCTCTGTAAGCTCAGGGACCCAAGAGCTGAGACAACTTGTCCCAGAAATCTGGGGCTGGCTCAGCGAGAAAACAAGCCTGTCAGAGAAATTCCCTCCTGTTGCCTATTTCTACCCAATGAATTACCCCAACATGGTGCCTAAAAACAACATTGAGTGTTTGTTATCTCCGTTTCTGTGGGTCAGGAGTTAGGAAGTGACCGAGCTGGGCATCCTGGCATAGTCTCATGACGTCAGCAGGGCTGCAGCACCCGAAGGCAAGACCAGACACCTCCACGAGGGCGCACCGGCAAGCCGGTAGAGGTTCCTGGCAGGAAGCCCCACGTCCTTGCCATGCAGTCTCTTCACGGGCTTCTCCAAGGTCTGCAAGATACAGCATCAGGTTTCACCCGGAGTAAATATTCCAGCAGAAAGCCAGGGGGAAGGAGCCATGTCCCTTGTGACCTAAACTCCGTAGTCACCCACCATGACTTGTACCATATTCTTCCCGTTAGGAGCACTCCATAAAGTCGAGCTCACATTCCACGGTGAAGAGAATGAATCTCCACCTTCTGAAGGGAGAATGGTCGAAGAATTCGTGGCTGTATCTCAAACCTCCCCGGGCAGCCCTGTAGTGGAACGGCGGGCTTTGGCTGGGAGAAGGCTCCACACGCGCCGCACTGTCTGGGGCACTGTGGGATTTGTGGTAGGGATGGCCTGTTGCCGCTCAGATCTGGTCTCCCCTGTGAGCATGTACTAGGTACTCATATGTTAATTCAAGTAGTTCTCACAACAACCCCATAAGGTAGTAAAACAGCACCACCTAAAATTTATTGAGCACCTATTACATGCCCTAAGTGCTTGATGTGTATCAGCTCATTTAATCTCACAACAGCTCAATGAGACAGGTTTGTTTGTTTTTTTTAATCTTCCTCTGAGGATACGTTCTCATTGATTTTAGAGAGAGAGGAAGGGAGAGAGAATGAGAAACATCTAAGTGAGAAGAAATATTGA